TGGTTGACATTTGGTTATCCAAAGAGAACTATTTATGGCTTCATTAGAAGAAATATTTTTTATTGTAGAAAACATAGGCTTCAAGTCTGCAGACTCCATTATGTCAGATATATGAAAATGAAAAATTAAGTGGAATAGTGGTGCTTATGTTAAAAAAAAAAAAACTAGGCTTGCCTCATATTTTAGAGTGCTACTTGGCTTCAGAGTATTTCAACATGAACTAGTGGCACATTTACATATTCCCCCATTGGAGACATTGTGTTGTTGCTCTCAGAAAGGATAACTGGAGCTGATGGCAATTTTTATCTGAAGCGATTTGCGCATGTTAGCAATATACCATATCCTGTCAGCATAAGAAGAGCATATGGGGCCCATTAACTCACCAAATCTGCCACCATTCTGAAAATTTTTATTAAGCAAGTGCAGTCCCTAATAGTCACTTATGTTATGGAATGCGTGTCAAATGCTATCAATAAGCAAGGGAATTGTTTTCCCCTAGTGAGAAAGCATTTGAAGTGTATAAGAAGGCTTGACAAAAGGATAAAACACTTTAAGTGATCGTTATATTAGTATAAATGCACCCTACTGGGAAGCCATGAGCGTATTATATGCATTTTAATGTTTGCCCCTAACAAGTTCTCAGAGTGCCATCTTGTTCATAGATATTTTTCACTCATATTTTCTTCCTCTCAACTCACAATGAGCCTGGTTGAAATTAAGTGGAAAAATATAGCCTTCTTAGGCTTTTTAAAAAGTACTATTAGCAGTTGGACAGTTCAGCTTCAAACACTTATAACCAGGAGAATTAGAAATATAGGCCATTGGGCTGCTGTGATTCCCAAGCAAGTCTTCCAAGTCAAAGCACATCCTCTTTATTAAGCACCTTGTGGTAATTAAATCAAATAGTGTCCATTGATCTTGTGTTGAATGTCAGGAGACAGGAGGTTAGTGTAGAAATCCCATTATCTAAATAAATCCAGAGAAACCTCAAAAGGGTCAAGTCCACAATGCCCCCTAGTATTTAATAATGGCTATAATGAAAACAATGGTCATAATAAAAATGTCTGTGAACTGCATCTTTAGAAAGACTCAACTTTGCATCATATCCCTTCCATTACTGTAACATGCCTTGCAGATATTGAAGAGCAAGTAGTACTATTCCTTGGGTAAAACTGAAGGATAGAGAGAGAATTATAATAAGTGCTTGAGACTTAAAAAGAAGAAGAAACCGAAGAAAAAATCTGCCATCTGCACCAGAATAAAAACCTATACTCTTGCTCCTTTTAATGTTCTTACTTGATGCTTTTGGTACTGTGCTTTTTAAGAATAGATGATCTTTCTGATTCCAGACCAGTTTCCTGTGTCTTGTAAACAAGTCTTTTATTCTAAATGATACCCTGTCATAATTCATATTGCTACCACTCTAATCACTGTGCTATCTAAATATGATGCATCACAAGTGCCAGCCCCAAGAGATAATGTCAATAGTAGCTCTAAGGTGATGTGGGTTATAAAGGAAGTTGAGTTTTAATTATAACACTTGCCATTTTAAAAAAAAACTTGGTGTTGCATATAATTTTACCTCATTTGCTACTGTTATTTAAATTGCTTCTCAGCATTAAGCATATGTATAAAAGATGAGTGTTCCAAATTTAACCTTTTAACTAAAATGTATTCTATTAATTAAGTCATTACAGTTCCCTCTCTTTTCTATTATGTTTATTCACTTATCTTCTGTCCTAAAGATAGACATCTGTGTCAGTGAGTATTTTGGAGAAAGACCTTTAATTTTTATGCCTATCACCCATTTGGATTTTTCATACTGTTTTTAAAAGTAGTTTATTTTAGTGTTCTAAAGAACTTCAAATTGTCAATTCAAATAATGATAGGTATTCCTACCAGGAATAATAGACATTATTCAACCAAAAAGTTGAGAAGTTCCTTGTTAAGCTTAATGTGACTGAGGAATTTGCAACATTTAACTTAGGTTGGATTTTTTTTAAAAATACAAAAATTAAAAATTGAAAGCCTTACTTTATACTTTATAACTATGCATAATATAACCACATAGCACTCCGTGGGGTTTTTTTCTTTTCTTTCACTTCAAGATGAACTAGAGCCAGGTAAATCAGGAGGCACTGTAGTATCTGCTTTAGTCTTCTATCTTCCAAGAGATGACATGTAGAAGAACCTAGTGCCCTGCTTAAACACAGTATATTCTTAATTATTCTCTATTTCTTTATTATTTTGAGAAAGTAAAATATAAACATCACAACCGTCACCACATCCACCACCTTTCCCACTTCCACAGCTTCTATTTATCAGGAGTTTTCATCTGAAAATTGGGGATCTGGCCCTGTGCCAAGTGCTTTGCACTGTTTTTTTGTTTTTTTAACTTGGCTCCCACAACTCTCTGTGGACTGTTTGGATCCCCATTTTCACAGGGGGAAACTGAGGTTAAGAAGAGCTTTTAACTTGCCTGGGAAGCTGGCACTGAACTCACAGTTGTGATTATTAGCTATCAGTTTGTTCTGCCTACTATTTGGCATCACCTTACCAGCTAATATTTGTTAAGCATGTGTGACCTTCTAAGTACTTCTCTTACCACAAACCTGCAGAATAAGCAGTGCTTTCCACATGTTAGATGTGCTGAGACTGAGGCACAGAAAGTTAAAATGACTTTTTGAATACTTGTTAAAAAAACATTAAACCTTTTAAATTAACAGCACAAAACTAAGTTTTCAAACCATGATCTTAATTCATAAAGATGGTTTTTCATCTATGAAATAGGAAATGAATAGTTTAGCTCAGACCCTTAGAATTGTAGATTTATGATCATGCTAAAGAAAATGATAGCTAACACTCATTCATATTGGTAACTCTAGAAAGATTTCTATTGCTAGCATATATACTAATGAAGTTTCCTAGCATATAAGTGTTTGCATGTTTCTTATATTCAATTCATACTACTTATTATTCTTCAAATGTCTCAGATAGCAATTCTTGTTTGAACCTTATCACAAATGTAGTGGAATAAGAATGTCATTGAGCTCTGATCCTTCCACATAGGAGGTGTGTATGTCTCTTTTTCTGTGACATAGGGTGATACTTACCTTTAAAGGTCATTTGATAGTCAAATTAATTAGTAGATACAAAGTATATAGGACAAAAATATAGCTGCTATTTTTATTTTTCATTGATTTCCATTACTCTTCGTCTTATGTTATAGAGCCTACTACAAGTGTGTTCTAGGCATGGGAGGGACGGGCTTTGGCTCACCAGAAGTGCCTGATAAATGCCATCTGACTTGCTTCCCAACTGGAAATACAACAAAAGTCTAACAGAAATTTTAAGCAGTTCAGAACAGAATAATCATAGACACATAAAGTTTTTATCTAGAAAGTAAAGACACAGGTATCTATGAAAGAAAGGCCAGGGAAGTGGAGAGATTATGTACAGTAACAAGGTCAGTTAAATATGACTGAGCGTTCTGGGGAGCGGAGGGACAGCCATGCGACTGGGACCATCCAGTTAAGAGAAAGGGAGCAAGGCCTCCTCATTAGCAAGCTCCCCTCACCTAGCTCCAACCCTGAGCTCCAGAGTTTGATAAACTAACAGACAGTGGGACATGGTAAACAAATGAACAGTTTTTGTTAAATATTGAAGTGGTTTTCTACCCAGAGGTGATTAAAGATTAAGAATTTTGTATCTACATACATGAGGAATATGAGTTCGTAGTTTTCATGTATTCTTCTCCTGATGTCAACGCCAATAGCAGCCCTATGGGGGGTTCCCACCTGGGAAACCTCCCTCTAAGCCCTAGTAAAGCTTTCCTAGGATCAGTATTATTCCATAAATGCCCAGTAGAATTCAGTGAGGCCATCTGACTCTAAAGTTTCCTTTATAAAAAAGTTTTACATATATTCTTTTTTATTTTGGAAAAAGTGTTATAGGGCATACACTCTTTTTTAGGAAAAAAAAAATAGTTACTAGGCTACTGCTATTATTTATTTCTCCCTTTTTAAGCTTTGGTAATCTGTGCCCTTCAAAAAAAGTTTCATTTTCCTCACTGTTAAGGCAAAAACCCTCATTTTCTAACGGATGCCCTGAGTTATGAAGCCTTGCCTTCTCGCTTTTGAAAATAGGTACTATTCTCAGCCTTGTGTGAATCTCAGATGCTGTTGCCTTTCCAGTCTGGGGTGGTTCTTTGCTAAGACTTGGGCTACTTATCTCATACACATGTGACCATCAGTATTCAACTGAAAACGTGAGGGGATTCTCAAAAGCATTAGAATTTCAGACATCTGTCTTCCTGGTTCTCTGTCCTGTACACTCCACCTGCCCTGGCTTCCCTGGACATCCTGCACCGCGTCCTTAAGCCAGAGACATCCCTGGCTTCTGCCTATGTGTCCCATCCCTGTACTCCTGTCTGAACACTTTCTCCAGAGATCAAGCTGGGGCTAGAGAAACTGTAGGATTTACTGCATTTATTTTCTATCTCTGGGGAGTCGCTGACTGTCCTTTACTGCCTGACGTCTTATCAGTCAAATGCCACTATTTCAAGTTTTGTCCAGTGTTTTAATTGATTTGGGGAATTCTAAATCTTTTTTCTTTTCCTTCATTTGGAGCAAACACCAAAACCCAGTCCTTGAGAATGGGATATATGCTTTTTATGCTCAACAAGCTTCTTTGTGTATTACACATCTCTAAGCCCTTGAATTTAGTTTCTTTTCTTTTAAGTATAGAAGCGACAATCCAGCTAAAAGAATGTATTAAATAATATTTTAAAATATTCATGATACATCTAAAAACATATTTCTTCATAGCTGTCTTTATAAATGTCCTCAGGAAAAATGAAGTACCACAGTATAGGCCAGAAGAAAAACTATTCTCAAATCTTTGCCAGTAAAAGATTTTACTTATTATGAATATATATGTGTTTCAAAAAATGTCTGATTTATAAGCAGGTCTAATCCTTGTCTTTTATTTCTTCTCCTTAGTACCAGATGAAAGCAAAGTACACTCATTGGCTGGACCCAGACCGGGTAAGAAATTCCTTGTAACCAACTTTCTATTGCTCTTCCTGGAAATCTCTGTCTGTGTTTTAGTAGCAGTTGGAAGTGCTTCTACCTGCCTGTCACTGAAAGGCTTTCTAATTAATACATGAGATGTCTCTGACGTCCACAAAGATGAATTATTGCTTGGCTGTGTGCACAGTGGCATAATGTATGCTGACTCAAAACGTTTGAGAGGAAAGAAGAAAGGATTCCAAAAAAATTATAAATACAAAATTTAAACTTGTATGCTAACTGAATACTTAACAACCAACAAAGGTATAGAAAACCAGAGAAGTTAAAAATTCTTTCCCACGATGACTTTCACATTAAAGCAGCAGGACAGAGAACTCTAGAGTAGGCAAGATGTGGTCATTTCTTTCTCCTAAAAGGGGAAATAAAAGCATTTCCCTGCTGCCAAAGAGGGCTGTAAGAGATGACTATCTTATTGCTCTCTTCACTCAGGAAGGGGCGCCCGGATATTCCTGGGAAGCCCACTACCATCTCTCGGTCTCCAGGACTTTACTATGTAAAAGGTCCCTTTCTGCCTAAATCCCAAGCTTTCCCTTTATTACCGAACAATCTGCCTTCTCTTCCTTTGCCCTTGCTTTCTCATTTATTTACATTAGTTGCAAACATTTGAAGCTACCTACTAAGCTTGCAAATACCACAATAATTCCTTTCCTCTAGGGGCCCATTACTTTAGAGGAAAAAAATATATCCATTTGGTTCTTAGAATTGCTACTCCACACAACAGAAAGGTTGTGATTTGCTGGCATCCCTCCGCTTCTGAAACAAAGCAGGCTCTCCCATCCCTGAGCGTCTCCTGTGTTTATGTGCCAATTATGTTTTCAGCAGTAAGTGGCCTCGATGCCTCATTACCTCCATCATGTTTTAGGGCAAAACCATTTTTTTTCCCTTTTCTCCTTTCTCCAGATTCTCCAGTGATAACAGCAGGAAAGAGGTGGTTCACAACTCTTAGATATTTTTCGCCATTCTTCCTAATAAAGAGCCTAAGAAGGTTAGATCACTACGACAGAAAAGATTTCTGTGGGAGTGATGGATTGCCATATGCTGTGGGTTCCTACCATGCTCTTCCATTAAATTCCATGCTACTGGAAATATTTTTAGGGGCTTGAGAAGGAGGTTTTCTTGACTGAGGAACCCTAAGAATAGCCTACCTTATTTTCATCTTAATGCATGGTCCTGGCCATAATTCTCTTACATTAAGACCTAAAATTAAAACCTTTTCGTGTACTTGCATAAGATTCAAATCTAAATAATCCATGGGCTTTTACGAATGTTTATCAGTTTGGTCACTCAAATCATATCCTAGTCTTAGGTAAAATCTAAACAAATTTACTGATAGCCAAAAATGAAAAGCTATTGTCAGTCTTTTTAACTGAGAACATTCTCATTTTAGTGTAATACCGTAATACTTCAGGGAAAAAGGAATCACCAAATGGCAAGATTTTAAAGCTGTCAGGTAGATTCTTACAAACTCCACAAGGCAACTTTGCTTTGGCTCGTAGATAGGAATAGTACCAACATCCTTCCTACCAGCTGAGCCATACAATTTAAATATAACAGGTTTAGTTTTGGGTTCATATCTTCTTTTCTTTTTATTAGTATCTTTTTGTAGCACTTAATTTTCACCTTCCTTGTGTGGAGTTGGTAGGTGTACATAACATGTGCCAATTCCTTTCCTTCTCCCCTCCCCATCCCTCCATCTCTTGATCCCCTTCACATTTGAGGAAAATCTTTCTCCTTACTTTCTATTATGTGTCTTTTATGTTGCTCTTTATTTATAGTTGAGAATGTTGTAAGGAAGGTTTCTATTTCTAATGTACTGTCATTCCAATTCATTATTCTTATATTTTAAAGTACTTTTATATCTTATCATTACACCATTCAGTTCATCACTGGGCATCTGTGGACGCCAGTACTAATACCCAAAAACAACCAAAGACTTAATAATTTTGGAACAAAAATTTCATTTAATGAAGAGTGCTAGACAATCACTAGAACTATATACTCTAGTGTTACCTTAACTGAGAACATTCTGTAAAACATTAGAAACATTTTTTAGAAAATATAAAAAACAATTAAAGAAAAATGTGACTACATTTATACATTTTATGCACCAAGAAAATACTCTCCTTCCATTTCTTGCATCTATTTCTTTCAGAAAATCAGTCTTAAATTATAACGATCCTTAGGAACTCATCCTTCACATAAATGCAGCTGTCTTATATATGCTGTCTTTGAGTAGAGGCATTTCTCTTCCTTGGCATTGGTGACAGGAGTATAGAGGTGCTGAGGATTAAGGATCCCTTTAAGTCTGGTGTACAGGATAATTGGCTTGGTTACAGAATAATTTTTAAAATTCACCTAATGTAAAACTATGGTCTCAACCTTGTACTGGCTGTGGCCACTAACCAAGTTACCAAGTTGAGTGTTAACTTGTAATGTTCAATGGTCCTATTTTTCTCATCAGTGTTAAAAGGGATTGTGCAACTTTTGGTTACAACATCCTTTCTCCTGAATATTTAAGTAAAAAACTGATATCTTTTTTGCTAACAACAACAACCCCCTAAAAGCTCTATTTCTTTCTCTAATTCCAGAAATGTGGGCAGCTTTAATACTATCCAAGACTATCAGGAAATTAAATTAAATTGTACGTGCTGACCTAAATCTCTCATCCATACACTTATTTGGAATGATATTCAACATTTTAATAAATTCATCTGAGTTAAAATTTCTTCTGAGTCAGCTACTTAGTGCACAGAAAGCCAGTTTTTGCCAAGTTCCATTTATTGGTCTGGCTTGGGTACATCCCAAATTTGTGACAAGATTTTTGGCATCTTTCCCTTGGCTTAATCTTTAAGTGGTTGATTCCTCAGAGCTCAGAAAAAAATCAAAGGCCCAGGTAAGACAAGTCTTTCTAACATTTTTGGACCCAAATACAGTGTCCCCCCCCAACCCCTTGTGGAATCAATCTAGTTTTCTTGAGATTCCTCTAATGACCTAATGTGGAAGCTTCCCCTAACAGTGCCTGGCATCTCATTACCTTGGCAGGGAAAAGAGTAGGATGATCTTCCTGTTGACAATCTTGCAGGGCCTACTGCACACATGAGAGGTGTTATGTCTAGGAAATGGTGAGACCCACCCAGAGACATAACAAATCAAATGCCTCTTGTTCGGTTCCTTTAAGAAAAAGTACAAGTTTCACTGAGCCTTGAAAAACCAAAAGTATGTGAAACCTCTTTTCCTATCTCACTAGCTGAACCACAGGTCCTAGAAATGCAGGGATGAGAGGGACAGAAAAAATAATTTAAACAATGAAACAATTTAAATATTGAGGGGAACATAATAATTCAGAGGAAATAACATCAAATTTGGCATTTGCCTTTTTAAAATTATCCTTCAATTTTGCTTGTACTCAGAGTCAAAAAGTATGTCTAAGAAGGAATTTTTGTTTTTTACCTTTTATATGCTGAACAAAGGCCTAAACCAATAGTTTAATGGTTCTCTACATTGTCAGAAAGACCTTATAAATTTTACTTTTCTGAGTACTGTATTGTCTTCTTTTTGTTGTTTTGATTTACTGCTTGGGACTGTTTTAATATGTATTGACTGTCTGCAGAGATCCTTGCTGACCCAGCTCTTTAAGATGATGCAGTACTGAGGAAAGCCAAGGAGTTCTTTATGAGCTCTGACGTATTAATTAGCAAAATGGACTAAAAAGCTTTCCTATTTCTGTTTTAATTTCTTATATTCTCAAACACCTGTCTATATAGCTGTAAAACAGGCAAGTCCGTGAAAGTAATGGCTGGCACTGAGTCCAGGCCTTTCCTCAGACAAGTTTATCAATTAATGAGCCAGTACTCTTTAACCAGCCATGGGGGTAACTATGAGCAAGGTACCATGCAGCCACCATGTTTGGCTGGATTCCTAACTCAGTTTACTGATGAGGAAAGCAAAGCTCTGGCATTCACATACCTGATCCCTCCGCTGGTCACTGTAGGGGTAGGGTGTGAAGGCAGACACTGTGTGGTAGAGCTCATGCTTTGGAGCATTCATGGCCTATCAGCACATGCCGAATAATGAGGATGTAGGAGTTAGACACCATATATATATCTAGTTCTAGGTGAAAGATGTTACATGTATGCATCAAGGTATCTGATAAATTCTCATTTACCTTTTGTAAATTCACCTGAGCAAGGAACACAATAGCTAAATTCTCTGTCAGACTACTATTTTCTTTCTTCATCAATTGGATAAGCGAGCACAGCATATATCTGTCTGGACAAACATCTTTACTGGTACCTTTAAGCCTCTGACATTTCTTACATTGGATAAATATAGTTTTTTTTTTTAATTTTTATTTTAAAGATAAAAGGAGGGGAAACATTAACAGACATACAACATTTTACAACATATCACAAGCACAATACAGACAAC